TGGGTGCTAGGTTGTATGCTGTGGGGCGTGTCCTGTCTGCGACACAGGGACAGGCCTTTGTTTTATAGAGCGTCCAGCAGTGTGGTGGGGAGGGACATCTGGCTGGACAACACTGACCACTGTCATAGTCGGGCCATCCATTCGACTCTCCTTTTGATTGATTTAAAGTCTGCGAAGGCTACTGCTGACCGGAAGTCTGCATCCAAACCCATTGGATTCGAAGGGGACCTTCGTGGCCAGTCCTCTGACCTTCCAGAAAGACTGCATTCCCAGGAGGTGGATCTGGGACCCTCCCAAGGAGACTGTTTGATGGCTGGCAATGATTCTGAGGAGGCTCTCACTGCACTGATGTCCAGGAAGACTGCCATCTCGCTGTTTGAAGGGAAAGCCCTGGGACTGGATAAAGCCATCCTCCATAGCATAGACTGCTGTTGTAAGCACATCTGGGGAGCCGGGAGGGAGCAGTTCCAGGGTTCAGGCTAGGGTGTGGTTTTATCTTGCAGCATGTTCATTCAAAAACTGTCAAGGACCTACTTTGTGCTGACATTGTCAGGTATTAGAATCTGATTCCTGGCCTTCTTAAACATAGAACCAAGTACCAAAGGCCAAAACAAGTCAGATTACCACATAAAAGGCATTCTCGGTAGATGAAGAAGGCTGTGTATAGGCCAGTGTGACTAGGAAGCAGGGTGAGGCTGTGGAACAGGTGGGTGCACACCACACTGGACTTTGTAGGCCCCCTTAGAGATTGAGGTCCTAATCCTGCTAGGAGCAGGGTTGGGGGGCGGGGCGTGTGTGGGGACAGCAACTTGCTCACATTTTGTGCTTTGCAAGGTTCCTCTGGCTGCCTTGGAGCATTGTCAAAGATAGGTTGGGGAGAGCGCTTTGAGGGGCTCCTGCCATTACGAAGCGATGGATGATGGTGACTTGGCCTAGGGTGGTGGTAGATACGGAGAAAAAGCGTGAAAGGGATTTCACTGTCGTTTCAGCATCTGATGAAACCAAAAAGAAGATGTACAGCTCCATCCTGGTGGTGGGAGGTGGTTTGATGTTTCATAAAGCCCAAGAATTTCTGCAGCACAGAATTCTCAATAAAATGCCACCTTCATTCAGGCGAATTATTGAAAATGTGGATGTGATCACAAGGCCCAAGGTATGTTGTGCATGGTGCAGGTCAGGCTCTTTTCCAGTGAAACAGCATTATTTGTGGTTATATGTGGACAGAGAAAATCCTGGGAGGCATGAGTCTGTGTGTAGGGAGTTCTCGAGGGCTTGGGGCAAGTAGAAAAATTACTTTCAGCAGGTCACACAGATGTGGAAGGAGCTATGGACTCAGGGACTGGATTACTGGCTTTCAGTCCCTGCTGTGTCCTCCAGATTAGCATGACCGACTTCTGACGTCAAAGGATGGAGTGGGCAAGGAGAAGACTGACTGTTCTCACACTGTCAACTAGAACAAGTCCATTTTCATCTCTTTTCATCTCTTTCATATTGAGAATCTCCTGCTGGTTCCTAGATGATCTTCATCTAGGTGATCTTCCTAGGTGATCTTCAAGGATCTTTTTGGTTTGAACTATCATGGAAACCATAAACACAGCAATTTAGAAACAGATTGTGTCTGTATTTTATCATTCTCACTGACAATTCCAGGGAATATTTCTGTTTAATTTTCATTCAGAGGGAGAGGTTATGGGATATATTTATTGCACTCAAGTTTCAAAATAAGTTATTTCCTTAGAAATGGTCTGGCCTATAGCGACTGTTCATGGAATAATAGTAAGTAGTGAATAATAGTATCTTCAGTAATAAAAACTGAAAAATTTTCCTGTGAATTGAAATGGAAAATGTCTGTGGTTAGTTAATAGGTCCTGCGTGAGTCTGCCCCTAAATTCCAGTAAATGATTAAGTGTATGTCTTGTCTGTTTTCATTGAAATATCTTTGCCATTTCTTCTCTAGGACATGGATCCCCGGCTGATTGCCTGGAAAGGAGGGGCAGTGTTGGCTTGTTTGGATACCACACAGGAACTGTGGATTTATCAGAGAGAGTGGCAGCGCTTTGGCGTTCGCATGCTACGAGAGAGGGCTGCTTTTGTGTGGTGAAATGGACAGAAAAGTCGCTGTTGAAGACCAACACAAACCTTGTGGTATAAAAGACTTAGTATAATTTATTGACTTAGGTGCTTTTAAGTTTCATGAAAATAAATTTTAACTTTTTTTGTTGAACACATTACATTGATGTAAAAAATACGCTGCTTTTGTAGTCAGGACATTTGAGAATAAATATGAACTTAGTCTTCCGTGGTGAATTCTCCTGTTCTTCCTCAGGGTCTCAGACTCCTGATGATGTCCATTGCTGCAGTAGAGTGGTTCTCAGGTGGTGAAGCCCTTCCTTTAGGTTGACTTCTGAGGGTTAGGCAGTCTCATGTACCCATGGGGGTGGGTGTGTGACTGTACGTGAATCGTGAGAAATGTCTGGTTACACATTTCCCCTCTTGTCTAGTATAGCATAAACGTATGTCATGACTTGTGTATGCTGCTAAAATTCCTTAGGGAAAAAAAAAGGTTTTTGTTGTTGTTGTTGTTTTGTTTCATTTTTAAAATTTTCTCTTGGATTACAAAAAATAGCAGGGCCCATTCAGGTCTAAATTTCCAGAAGCAAAGATTTAAAGTTGGGTTGGCTTTTGTTACCCACATGATCTGGGGTGGGCTTGGGAAAGGAAACCAGTCACTGTTTGACCAAAACAGAACAGAAACAGAAAAGGAAAACTCATTTTCTTCCTAAAGCCAAACAGAAATGGTTTATATATAATTTAGACAAGGTACCTGTCAGAATTACTAACTTAATCATTAGCTCCCCAGTCTTCCTTTACCTGAAAAACCGTGAACGTTCTCAGAGTGCTTCTCGTTCAGTATGATCTCTAGAACCGGGGCTGGGGGTGGGGCTGGCCGAAAGACAGAAGTAGGTGAAGGTAAGGAATTCAGGCAAGTGGAATATAGAAACAAGGATGGTTGGGAGCTTTCCCTGGCGGTCCACTGGTTAGGACTCAGCCCATTCACTGCTGTTATCATAGGTTCAGTCCTTGGTCAGGGAAGTAAGACCCCGTAAGCATTGGGGCCAAAAAAAAAAAAAAGGATGGCTGGAAGTTTAAGACATGGAAAAATACTAGAGTATTTTAAATAAATAGGATTATCAGGAGTGTCTGCTCAGTAGGTTGGAAACAAAGAAGAGCCTGCCAGTGTAACAAAATTTTAACTTGCTTCTCTTTGGGATCCTTGCCTTCAATCTGAAAACTATGCTATTGTTGGTTTTTTGTTGTTGTTTTTTTTTTTTTAGTTTTTAATTAAGTATATACACTATGATATTACATTTCTGGGTTGTTTCAACACAGTTTAATACTAGCTACCTATTTCTAAAAGCATAATGAATTCTGTTTATAATAGCTTCTCACATAATAGCAATTTGCTCTTAAAACTGGTAGAGGTTGATTCAGAGGAAGTTGGTTTCTGGTCCATGTTTTGACATAGGCCATGTCCATCTTTTATTATCAGCACTTAAAAGCGCCATGCAAACTGAACACAAGAAGTCAGTTAGCTTTACCACATTAACTGTATTGCCTCAGGCATTGCTAATTATTTGATGTGAAGCTGGACACACTGTGCTTCTTTATTTTGGTCTTTGTAAGACATGTATCAGAGGAGTGGCATGGCCCTTTAGGGATACTCTACAGAAACATTTTAGCAGTTGTCCACCTGAAACTGATCCACATTCTAGAGCAGATGCAGTCTTGCACTGTGTGAAAGAGACAGGCTTTCCTAAAAAATACAAATGCTAATATAACCAACTTTTGGTGACTTCTACATTAAGAAAAAGATGCTTTGAGAAAAGTAAAAAAAAATTGGAAGACTTAAAAATGCCACCCATCTCTTCGTTCTGTAATGCCAAGGTAGATTCTGTTTCTTAAGTAAAACAGTATAATAACTCATTTATAAAAAATTAATTACTTCAAGAGGGCTAACTTCAACATAGGAATTATTTTTGTCTTGAACATGAAAAGTTATGTAATAATCAACAAACTGAATTCTGACAATTACTTCTAATTGGTAGCTTTGGGCAAAGGTAGACATCAGCTCTGTAAATATATTTTGTTGATGTTAAAAATTCCCTGAACAAGAGTCAGGTAGGACATGAAGCTAGTTCAGCTGGTTTGGGGTGGGGGTAGGGGGGGTCCTATTAAAATACCAGGTATAGAAGTGTTTCCACACAGAGTAGGGCATATGGTCAGCGAAGATCAGCGCAGCCTGTTATTCCCTATGTTTTTTATAAAGATTTTTGTGTGCTATAGAGGGTTTTTCACCAAAGAAGTTATTGAACTAGTGAGGACTCTTAGTTTTGGCATTCGTTAATTAAACTTAGTTACAGAGCTAAACAGTTCTACCTACTCTGCAGGGCATGCCCTGTTCAGGACTGGATGTTCAGCTGGGAAATGCTCTATTACGATTATCACAGTGGTTATAGTTTTACATTATAAGTGTTCCTGGTTTTTAGATATGAATATAGTCATAAATTTAGTTTCCATTCTTTAATGCCACAGTCTTTAGTAATAACAATTTTATTGGTTTAACATTTAATTACTAGATTAAGGTGTTATGTATTCCATTGTAAATCCTTCCTATTCCTTTTGCTCAAGCAGATATACATATGGTTGACTCTTGAACAATACAAGTTTGAACTGGGCAGCTACATTCATTTGCGCAGTTTTTTCAGTAAATAACGTATGACACATCTGCAGATGGTTGAACCCCGGGTACACATGATGGACTGTGAGGTTTTCCCTGGATTTTCAGTGGCAGAGGGGTCAGCACCCTTGGGTTGTTCAAGGTGCAGCTGTAATCCTCCCTGCAAGTAGCCTATATGGTAAACTTCAGATTCTCACAGACACTTTTCCCCCTATGACTGGAGGGGTCAGAAGGCTTTAAGGTCTCCTGCTTTGTGGCTGGGCTACAGGGAGAGGCAGCTGTAGTGACAGGCGCGCGGCCTTCTCCCCACCGGCACACGCCGCTTGGCGTGGAGGAGCTCCGCGCAGAGGTCTGCAGCGTCCTGCGTGAGGCAGTACGCGGGGCAGGCCCTGAGCGCGCTGTAGTCGTCTTTGATGTCGCCCTCTCTGAAGGAGACCACCACATATTTGCGCAGATGAGCCTGGCTTCTCAGATCACTGCAGAAGAGGTTAAAGGCGAGGTGGAACAGGTCTTGGGAGTTCTCACAGGGGCCGCCCTCGTTCTTGTCACAGGTACCATCACACATGGAGTTATCATTGGAAAGAAGGAAAATGACCTTATCCGCTGCTTGCTTCTGAGTGGTAAGCCACTGCACGGGACCCATCTCAGCTATTTTCTTTTTCTGCCACTTTTCAAGGATAACTTCACTTCTGCAGCGGTTTTGAAGAAATTCAGTGAAGTAACAAACTGTGTGATGGAAGCATATTTCAGAAGGGTAAACCACAAGAACCTTAATAGAGGGCAGTAGCGTGGCAGTTGAGAAGGAAGTCTTCTTGATCCGTTCTGTGGGGGAGAGAAACATTTGTCATCTCTGCACAGCAAATCAGCAGGTTTTCAGGCCAATCTAAACCATGGCAGATAAATGACCCCTTGCTAGGGCGCACTGGCTGAGCATCAGAGGTGTTATTACTGCCAGAGAGGAAGATATCCCTGAAGTTCCTTTCGTACACATCACCTGAAATACACCAGTACTTAAACCTTAAAGATGCTGCAACAGATTTATTTTCTAAGTCCCTGTCACTGAGTTAGTCCTCTTGATCAAGCCCATCCCTTTTCAGATAAATTCACAGAAACTATTTAGGTTCAAGGTACTCTGTTTCAGGTGGGTGGTTGTAACTGTAGGATTTTTCAGTGCCATACATAAAAAGGACAGCTGACCTCTGCCCTTTCACATCATGTTTTGAGTTGGGTCAACTCAGTAGTAATTCCATCTTCTACCTGTGGGTGGTAGGGTTTCTTAACAGTTGCATAAGGTTAAGTGGTACCTCATTTCAGCTGGAACTCAACTGGAATTCTGTCCTATACATGCTACAGAATGGAAGCTAGGTGTGAAACTACTGTAAAAGATAGATACAGGTGAAACAATTCCCATTAATGTAAGTATTTCTACAAGAGTTTGATATGGCTTGCCTACCTAAGAAAGAACACAGGATTAATCTTGTTCTATCTACAACATCACAAACAACTCAAAGGCTGCATTTCCATGTCGATGTGTAGAGGGGAAGGGAAAGCAGAGGTTATCAGTGGGTCTCCCCCTAGTAGTTTATCTATATAAATACTGATACTCTTATTTCTCATTCAAGTGTTCAGTGTTTTTGGGTTGGCAAGATCCTTCTTGTTGTTCAGTCACTCAATCGTGTCCAATTCTTTGCCACCCCCATGGACTGCAGCATGCCAGGCTTCCCTGCCCATCACCGACTTCCAGAGTTTACTCAAACTCATGTCCATTGAGTCACTGTTGCCATCCAACCATCTCGTCCTCTGTCATCCCCTTCTCCTCCTGCCTTCAATCTTTCCCAGCACTAATGTCTTTTCTGATGAGTCAGTTCTTCCCATCAGGTGGCCAAACTATTGGAGCATCAGTCCTTCCAATGAATATTCAACATTGATTTTCTTTAGGATTGACTGGTTTGATCTCCTTGCAGTCCAAGGGACTCTCAAGAGTCTTCTCCAACACCACAGTTCAAAAGCATCAATTCTTTGGTGCTCACCCTTCTTTATGGTCCAACTTTCACATCCCTACATGACTATTGGAAAAACCATAGCTTTGACTGTGCAGACGTTTGTCAGCAAAGTAATGTCTCTGCTTTTTAATATGCTGTCTAGGTTTGTTACTGCTTTTCTTCCAAGGAGCAAGCATCTTAATTTCATGGCTGCAGTCACCACCTGCATTTATTTTGGAGCCCAAGAAAAGAAAGTCTGTCACTGTTTCCATTGTTTCCCCATCTCTTTGCCATGCGGTGATGGGACAAGCTGCCATGATCTTCATTTTTAAATGTTGAGTTTTAAGTCAGCTTTTTCACTCTCCTCTTTCACTTTCATCAAGAGGCTCTTTAGTTCTTCTTCACTTTCTGCCATAAGGTGTCATCTGCATATCTGAGGTTATTGATATTTCTCCCAGTGATCTTGATTCCAGCTTGTGCTTCATCCAGCTTGGCATTTCACATGATGCACTCTGCATATAAGGTAAACAATCAGGGTGACAATATACAGCCTTGACCTACTCCTTTCCCAATTTGGAACAAGTCTGTTGTCCCATGTCCAGTTCTAACTGTTGCTTCTTGACCTGCATACAGGTTTCATAGGAGGCAGGTATGGTCGTCTGGTATTCCCATCTCTGTAAGAACTTTCCAATTTGTTGTGATCCACACAGTCAAAGGATTTAGCATAGTCAATGAAGCAGATGTTTTTTCTGGAATTCTCTTGCTTTTTCTATGATCCAACAGATGTCGGCAATTTGATCTCTGGTTCCTCTGCCTTTTCTAAATCCAGCTGGAACATCTAGAAGTTCTAGGTTCATAAACTGTTAAAGCCTAGCTGGGAGAACTTAAAGAGTAATTACTTTGCTAGCATGTGAAATGAATACAATTGTGCGGTAGTTTGAACATTCTTTGGCATTGCCCTTCTTTTGGATTGGAATGAAAACTGACCTTTTCCAGTCCTGTGGCCACTGCTGAGTTTTCCAAATTTGCTGGCATATTGAGTGCAGCACTTTAACAGCATCATCTTTGGGGATTTGAAATAGCTAGAATTCCATCACCTTCACTAGCTTTGTTCGTCGTATGCTTCCTAAGGCCCACTTGACTTCACACTCCAGAATGTCTGGCTTTAGGTGAGTGATCACACCATTGTGGTTATCTGGGTCATGGAGATCTTTTTTGTATAGTTCTGTGTATACTTGCCACAGTGTTGTTCTTATGCCTTGGAAGAATTTATTTAAAAAAGTAGGAACTAGCATAGATTAGCTATCTCGATTAAGGAGCAATTTGTTATTAGCTATCTTTGGATCATTTCAGTCTTTGTAGATGCTTCAGTCATTTAAAGAAAAAGATGATTAAAAAAGGTGAGTGCAGATCCTGAGTCCTGACCCTTGCTTTACCCTTGCAGGTGTGATCAGTCTTAAGGAGAGCTCTAAGGTATTAAATAAATGTTGTCTGACTCTATTCTGATGCCAAAATGTGATTACTTCTGGAGGAAGCTCCTTTAAAAAAAAAAAAAATCAGCGTCATTCTTTAAAGAGCTGAATTATAACCCTTACCGTGCCTCCAGATCAGATAGATGCCAGCCACCAGCACCCATGTGGCCACAAGCAGAGCGGACAGGAGGAGAGGCAGCCAGCCACCCAGCACACTTCTGTCTGGGGAGAACAGAACTTACTTATCTTCAGCAGAACACAACCAGATTTCTCTCTTATTTGAAGACTAAAATTTTTATTTGACGCTTTGTATAAGTTTGGGTTCCTTCAAAACCAAGGGTCAGTAGATCTCTGCAGATCAGTATTTTTTTTTTTCAGAGTGTCCAGGTCTTTCACTAGATGCTCAAAAGGGAGAGGGGCCCAGGAGGTTAGGAATGGTCCTCCAAAATCACTTTGGCCTCTTACTCCATATTTTCACTGTGGTAACCAGAGTTTACATTCAATTTTGTTGTTGTTGTTGTTCTTTGATGAATTAATGTTATTCCGGGTGCAATTACTTCATATAATACACAGTATGCATAGAGGGCATCTTTAAAGGCTGTTCTGTCAGACTGACAAATGTGAGGGTAATGCCACCCGGTCACAGGAATGCTGAGAGTCAGTTAAGCTCCAGCGTGTGAAAGTGCTCAGGAATCCATTGGCTCTGTGCCCACAGAGCAGGCAGGATTGTTAGGAGGCTGGGTTTCTAAAAACAGCACCTTCCAACTTTTGACCCCATGCCGGGCTAGTTCCGGAAGCATTTAATTTGAAAGAACTAACATCATTAAATCCAGAGACATTCTCCAGAACAGGCTGCTCTCAGGCACCAATGAGGTGTGTCTCTTGGTGCCACCATTCCTAATTTGTTATCCAAATGTCTGTGTGGCCGCGTCGAGTTACAGTAACAGCCAGCCCTGGGCCACTGAGACAGGTAAGAAAGTCAAAATGCAGTGAGATGCATGTTTCTTCATGTACTCAGTCCTTTTACGCCACTGACGTTTTTCAGCAGACCCTTGGGGCATTCTGAACATCTGTTTTGCACCATTGATTTTTTTTTCCCCTCCTTCTGTATGTCCTGCTTGGTCAGATCTTGATCTCATAAACGAAGCCTCATTCCTATTCATTTGGTAGCTGTCGGGCACAGAACCACTGTCTTTCCCTGCACCCTGTTCAGCGCCCACTGGCAGGGACCCTCCCTCACCCTCTCCCACACCCCCGGCCTGTTGCATTCTGAATGGGGTAGGGCTGGGGTCCTTCCTGTCCTGAGACTCTGTGCTGGGCACTTACCATGATCCTGAGGAGAAGAGACTCCCGTTTGTGGGCAGCGCACCACGGTTCCTCTTTGTCGAATGCAGTCGTTGCCACAGGTACGGAAATACGGAGTCAGCTAAGGAGAAGTGAGGGGTTTGGCATTATCCCTACTTTTCACAAGAATTTCTCATCCCTTTTTTTCTAGCTTCAACCCCTCTTTAGCAGTGTAGTAAGATGTTCCCCCCCACCTTGGTCATACTTCAGTCATAAAGCCCTAAAATCCAGACAAGTGACCCAAGACCAGACACCGTCTACAACTCCTGGGTTGTGAATCTACGCTTTGTACATGTTGCTAAGAGGTTTTGCATGCTCAGTTATGTCTGACTGCAACCCCATGAACTGTGTGTAGCCCACCAAGCTTCTCTATCCATGGGATTTCCCAGGCAAGAATACCCCAGGAGTGGGTTGCCACTTCCTTCTCCAGGGAATTTTCCTGACTCGGATCAAACCTGCATCTCTTTCATTGGCAGGCAAATTCTTTACCACTGAGCCACATGGGAGTCCCAGTAAGAGGTTAGTTTCCTTATCTAAAAGGGTTAGGTCACATCGTAATACATAAACAAATATGTCCTCAAAAAATAGGGCAGTGGGATGCCTCTTGACCTAAGTCAGCACTTTTAAGTCCCTTGGGACTAGGAGAGTCTTTCCTTGGAAAAGGGGTGCAGTTCTAACATGCTGATGGGTATCTGCTCCCCTGGGCATGTCTGAGTGATGCCTTTATGTCCCAGGAATGAAGAACAAAGGAGTCTTATACCTTGGGTGTGGATCTGTTCCACTGGGACCCTTGGTAACATGAAGTCAGAGCGGAAAGAGCCCTGAGAACATCTGCTGACCTGACTTCTGTTCTTCAGAAGACTAATCACGGGCCCCGAGAGGACAGAGTTGCCCTTCAAAGTTCATAAACTGATCAGGAACCCAAACCTTCTAAATTCAAATCCTTTTTCACTTCATTTTGCAGTGGAAATGGAGTCTTGGGATAATAAAATGGTATTCCTGTCTCAGAATTCCTTTGTGGCTCTGTGACAGCAAATGGGAATAAAAGCATGTTGGAAAGTCAACAGCCACTCACAGAAGCCAAAGGGACCGTGACAATAAGTTCACCTTCCTGACCTCACAGATTCCCCATCAACATCAATGTAATGCCAAGAGAGGCTGCTGGCAGAAGCGAACCGAGGAGAGAATACATCTGCTCCAACCAGAACGGACCGCCCAAAAGCAACGAGTGGCAGTGCAGTGGGTCTTCAGTGACCCCCATTCTGTCCCCACCGGAGCATCTTGTTCAGCTTTACCTGGACTACAGCACCTTCACTTTCCCCAGTCACGTGAACCACCATGGAAGTTCGAGTTAGTTCCTTCTGGTGCAGGTGAGTGAGACAAAAATCAAGAGTTAGGAGCCATAGGAGGGAGGAGATTAAAGACTGCCAGTGAAGCCACTGCTCTTCCCAAACTGACTGGAACTCGTTAATTTGCGTGAGTCAGATTTACTCCGTACTTCTGAGACCGACTGGAACTCGTTAATTTGCGTGAGTCAGATTTACTCTACTTCTGAGACCTCTACCTTTGGTGGGTTTTAGATTCACAGGGATGTTTCCAGAGATGCCCCCAGGGGACTTGGTTGTTGTTGTTGTTGTTTTTTAATTAATCAAACTAGTCCAGCACATTTGTATAGCAGACAGTCCTGCCTGTTGCTCTCTCAAAAGAGTCTGTCCAGGGAAGTTCTCCAGCAAGGGAAGGAGAGCTGGAGGTGGAGGACAGGACTGGTGTTGAGAACATGAAGGGGAAGAAAGTACCTCTGACACATAGGAAGTCCCAATCACGGTGGTATTTTGGATGAGCGCCATATATCTGTCTCCAAGGGGACTGGTGGTAAAATTCACTTCCACTGTGTTCGCGCTCTTCTTGCAAGCGGTGATGTTTGGCTTCCACAGACTTCCTGTGAGTCAGGAGAATCACAAGGATGGAGCTGCGAACTGGGCCCTCAGTTAAGTCCCCAAAAGGGCTTGACCAAAACAGATGTCTGTTCTGAGGCACACCTCCACGAGATACACACTACTACACAGCGTGTCTTTTATTTATCATCTCAGAGTAACCTGCTGCCCAAGAAAGTTTAGTGACCCCACGTCACTGCTTTGCTGAAAACAGCTTCCCTGGGCTGATGGTGATGGGAGGCACAGGCTGGGTTCGACTACTCTCTTCTACTCGGCATCCATTTGGAGTGAAGGGCTGGGGGTCAGGATTTCCCTCTTTCCAGGATGGGGAGCAAAAGCCACAGCTTAGGAGACGTGTCTGAGTTTATAGAGTGAGTAAATTCAGCTAGAACTAAAATACTCTGGATTCCAGAACTCCATCCATCAGCCTGCTCTGCCCCAACTTAACCAAATGTCAGGAAATAAGGAAGTGCCTCATGGCTTAAAAGAATACCCTGGCAGGTCTACTCTGTGAGAAGAGCCAGTTGTTTCAATCATGTGCCTTGCAAATCAGCGCTTGGTTAATTTCCAGGAACATGATATAGAAGAGCATGCATTATTTTCCCCACCCAGGAGGCCATTTCAAGCCCTCACTCCCAACTGTCTTTAGGAATTGGGTAATGGAAGTGATTTAAGGCCCTCGGGCCCCCTACACCCCACAGGGTCCTCTACCCCAGATGTCTCCTGGCAGGAGGCCATGGAGGAGGCCCAAAGCTCCAAGTCTGCCTTTCAGCAAGGAGATACATGCTCGGTCTGCTGGGGTTCACCAGGATGCCTGTGGGGTGGGGGTGCCTAAAAGACAGGGACTGGTCCCCCCAAACCATTAGCCTCATTAGCATCCTAAGACTGTCATGACTCAGAAATGCATAGAAATTCTTGTAAACCCCTTGGAAATTAGATGGTTGGGACTGATTAACCTAAAAGGGCTTATTTCAAAAATCAGGGCAGGGGCAGTTTCTAACAGTCTGCTTGTGAGAGGTGACCCCTGTGAGGTCGCAGGTTGGGAGCGTGCTTCTAGGTCATTACTTTAGCTAATGCTGTCACCTTGAATGTTTGCAAATCCAGGCAGGCCCCTGTGGCCACAGGTCAGTGGTGCTGGTGTCTGAGCGGGCGGAGGACTTATAACGGAGTCCCATCCAGGCAGAGAGGGCCTTTGTTTGGGGCTAAAATGTTACTTTAATCAAGGGAATGGGGTGTTTTTTCTGTGACTTGCTTACCACATAAACCTGTCAAGAGTTTGTCAGGCTAGGGATCAGCCTTCATGTAACAGCCCTACTCTAGGCCTCAGTTTCATCGTAAAAAGTCTGATGGAGCTGTGCTGGCTCGAGGTATGGATTTCTTCTCATAACAAAAGCAAATGCTGAATTTACTTACCTGCCTCGATGCACTTTTTTTTATATTTCATTATGGGGTTCAGGCACCCTGGAAATTTTAAAGTTTTCACATTTTAGAAAAAAGTAACTCTGCTCCACCCCAGTGCCAACAAGTGTGCACACAACACATGCTTACCACACCGGCAATGAATTGCCAGAACATTTCAGATATGAGGTCAGATAGCAGATGTAAATAAGATGCTAACATACTGTTAAACAGAAGATTATCTACCTATGAAGTGATAACCAGAATCTAATTTGAATACAGCCTTTATCAGAATGGTATCTGTGATCCCCAAGAGAAGACCTCAAAACCAGCCATTCTTGAAAAATGAGGTTCGGTAATACATGTAGACACTGCCCCTTCCAAGAGGTGGAGCTTAATCCTACTCTGTACCCCTCCACCCCAGGGTGGGGTGGACTTAGTGATTTGTTTTCAAAAACTGGAGCTGGGGAAGGGAAAGATACTAGATTACATGGAGAAACCTGGCAAGATACCACTTAACAGTGACAAAGGTGAGCATCACCTGTGACGCCCTGTGTGTGTCACCCACCCAACAGGTGCCACAAGAAGAGCGCTTCACCTGTGCAGAATTCCCCCCAAACCCCTGTGTCCCCGTTTGGTCATGAGACAAACACCTGACAAACCCAGATTGGGGGAACATCCTGCAGGAGGCCTGGCCATCACTCCTCAAGACTCATGGTCGTGAAACACAGGGAAACACCAAAAGACTCTCAGAGACCAGATGAGATGAAGAAGACATGGGACGAAATGCCCCTGGGACAGAAAGATGACATTAGTGGAAAAGCAGATGAAATCGAAATAAAATCTGGACTTTAGTTCATAGAAATACCAGTGTTGGACTCTTAGTTTTGACAAATAGATGGTGGTAACATAGGATGTTAATGGTAAGAGAAACTGGGTGAGCGCTATATGGGAACTCTTTGTATTAGCTTTGCAACTTTTCTATACAAGTATTCCAAAATATTTTAAAAATGAGATTTGGTCTCACCAAGAAACCTGAGAACTACTGTGTACTAAATGATGTGATGCTGCGATACACTAGACCAGAACAAAGGAATGCAAACAGATTGGAAATTGCCCCCACTTGGCTTCAGTGCCACTGCTGGCATAGGCATGGGCATGGGGACAGGACAGGTGACCCAGCTCGAGCCGGAGTGATGTGGGAGCTGCTGGGGCCAGGCGCCGTGCTGGGCCCTCCTCACCGGAGAACCCGTCTCATCCTCGCACTGACCCCGTGTGTGATCGTGCAGGTGTGACACCAGAGGGCTGAGCGCGCATCATAGAGCAAGGGAAAGAACCAGCGCTCACCTCAGTGCCACCTGCCCCTTCTCCCAGCTCAGGGGGCAGACACACTGGAGTCTGTACATCCTCAGAGACCAGCCACACATGGTCAAACTACACATCCTGCCCGGAAGCTGAGACTGGAACAAGCGTTCTGCGTCGACCGCAAAGAATGGCCAATGTGCATCAGTCAAGAAGGACCAAGGTTTGGCCGGCAGCTTCACTTTGCTGCGTGTGTAACCAGGGCAACTTACTTAAGCTCCCAGTTTCTTTTATCTGTAAATCAGGGCTGTCCCAACCGTGGGGTTTTTGGCAGCCCAAGTGAGATGATGCGTGTCTAGTGCTCAGTCAGTGCTCGATGCACAGGAATGGGCTTTCCCCTCCACCTGACTCAGTCCTCTCCTTGTGAGTGAGATGCAGTTACTGTTGTGTCCCTGCTACACATGAGGAAACTGAGACTCAGCAAGGCCAAACATCTCATCCAGGGGACCTGGCCTCTCTCTACCAAACCACATACCAGATCAGGTGTCCCGGCAAGACAGAGAATAAGACAGGAGTGAGGATGTGTACCTGGGGAGGTGAAGTTCACAGCCATGGAGGGGCCGTCCTCATTCATATTTGCATTGGGGATGTTATGGGCCCCAATGAAATAGACTGTGTTCAGTTCGACAGGAAAACCAATGTAGGAAAACATCCACTGCAAAGCAAAGTGGGAACCCTTGAATTGCCACGTCTTTTTCATTTATAATTTCATTCCTTAACCCACTACTAAAACTTATGTCTCTAGCCAATGTCTACTAAGGAAATTGACCCCACACAGTTTGCCAGTGTAACCCACAGAATTAGAGAAGTGTAAAGTTCTAGAGCCAGGATATAACTTAGGTTCAGTTTCCCTCACTTGGGCTCCCCCGCTCGCTCAAACAGTAAAGAATTTGCCCACAATGCAGGAGACCTGGGTTCAATCCCTGGGTCAGGAAGATCCCCTAGAAAAGGGAATGGCAACCCACTCCAGTATTCTTGCCTGGAGAATACCAAGAACAGAGGAGGCTGGCAGGCTACAGTCCATGGAATCACAGAGTTGGACACGACTGAGCGACTAACACTTCCCTGACTTTGCTGATGGAGAAATTGAGGCCCAGGGATGCTGACTTGCCCAAGGCACACAGCAGAGAAATGGCCCCAAGTGGGATTTGAACCCGGACATCCAGGTTCCAGGTTGTAGCTGTCAGCAGCCTGTATGTGAACACAAATCCACACCCCCAACAAAGGATCCAGATTAGTGACAGCCCTCCCAGGTGTCTCCAAGTGCTTACTTTGCCACCGGAGGGTCTGGTCTGAGTCTGGAAGGCCTGGGTATAATTGCACCTGACGCAGCTGTAGGACTCGAAGTGGCTTTTGCCCATCACACAGATCTTGGTGGCCTTCAACAAGCGGATGCTGGCTGCCAGGGTGGGTAAGAGGGCAGTTGTGTATTTAGTGCTTCCTCTGTAGCTGATCTGATGCTAGATAGCCTACCTGCCTTCACATTCACCGTGACCCTCAGAGGTCAGCACTATGATTGTTCCCGGTTTACAGAAGGGGTGAGCGAGGCTTGGTGAATTTCAGGGAGTTGTGCGTGGCTTACAAAGTTCATCAGCGACAGAATACGGATTCAGATTCCAAAGCCTTTCCTCCTCATAGGTGAGCCTAAATTTCACAGGTACCTGCAAAGAGGAGTCTACCTTTCCACTATCCTGGACCTCTTTTAAGAGGAACAGGCGTGCTGTGTAAAGCAGAGGCCTCTCAGAGTGTCCTCAGTAGCCAAACCTGTTCTGTCTGTACCTTTATCCATGCCGATCCTTCTCCCTGCAATGCCTTTTCCTCCTGTTCTTTGCCTTGCCAATTCTTTCTCCTTCAAGGCCCAACTTATGCACCACCATCTATAATGATAGCTAACAAATACAGGAGCTCACTCTGTGCCAGGGATGAAGCCAAATGCCATCTAATTTAATGTGGTCTCACCAGGGTCCGCTCCTCCTCCTCTCCCTTCAACCGAACTGAAGATAAAGTACAGGTCCCTCCAGGATTCCCCTGACAGTCTGGCTGCCTCCCCTTGGGCCCCGAGAACCTGACTGAGCAGGAACTAGAGCTCACTTAGCTCTCTGTGCTTGGCACTCCCAGATTATGACCATATGGAATTTAGCTGAATTTAGTCAGCGGACCCTACAGATATGGGCTTTAGGCCCCCAGTACTGGTTCATCCAAAGTGGCTCAGAGAAATGCTAGGACTTCCATGATGTCCTTTGGGAGATGGAAAAGTTATCTACCCAAGAGAATGTTTTCCTACTGAGAGATCATTTCTGGCCTTATCCCATTTTCTTCCATGAAGAACAGCGTAACATATAGAAAAGCTGACCAACACCAACACACCACTTGATGAGTTTTCACACTTGTGCAGCCAGTACCCAGGTCAAGGAACACCCCAGGAGTGCCCCTCAGGCCTCCTTTCAGTCACTCCCCACCCAAGGATGGGCTTCTCTGGTGGTTTAGATGGTAAAGAATCCACCTGCAATGCAGGAGACCTGGGTTCAATCCCTGGGTTTGGAAGATCCTCTGTAGAAGAAAATGGCTACTCATTCCAGTATTCTTGCCTGAGAATCCCATGGATGGAGGAGCCTGGCAGGCTACACTGAGTGCACAGGGTCACAAATAATCAGACATTAACTGAGCAACTTTTACCCAAGAATAGCCACTGTCCCGACTTCTAACTACATAGAGTAGTTTCGCCTGTTTTGCACTTTTTGTTAATGGAATCATCTTGCGGGTAGGACTGCAGGCCTGTGTGCAGAGGTGAAAAGTATGAACTCCCGAATCTGGCTTCTTTTGTTTGTGAGATTCATCCACACATAGTCATAAATCATTCATGCTAATTGATATACTGGATTCCATTTTGTGAATCTAAGTCTACTGTCAGGCATTTAAGGCGTTTTATTTTTGGCTGTTTTGAATACCGCTACTATGAGCATTCTAGTCTGTGGCTTTGGTGTATGTATGGCATGTATCTGGTATATCTGTGGCATGCGTGTATGTGTTCTGTTGGGTATGTGCCGGGAAGGGAGGTCATGGGTTGTAGAGTCTGTCCATTTCTCCTTTAGTAGATACGTCAGGCCTTACCATTGATTGATGCAAACTTACCATCTGCCCGGAGTATCCAGCTTATGTTCATCAAAATTGAAGAGTCCTCCAGGTCAACACTGCTTTTAATAGGCTCCACTCGGAGGTCCCTCAGGTCCCCTGGGGTCAGGGTGTGTCGGACCATCCACTCTGGAGACGGTCCTGGGAGAAGGCAAAACTGCCCCATGACATCCCTTCCCCAGCCCAGTCCAATGCCACCTACTCTACATGACCCCCTGTGACCACCCGTCACTCACAATTCATCTCTTCTTTCAGCTAAGGCAGGCCAGACATTTCTCAGTGCTGGCTGATGTGCAGCTTAGGTGATGCTGAGCCTCCTGGGCCCAACCCACAGGGCACATGTGCCCACTCTGGGTCCCTTCATACGTATGTATATATCTAATTTATTTGACATGTATATTAGGGTCACTTCTGCCTGCCCCCACACCTCAGCCTGGACTCCAGCCAGCTTACCCCCATGACGCCCCCTTCCTACCCCTTAGCTTCTGCCAGGACCATCTCTCCTCCAGCTCATTCTGTCCATCCACATTTCTTGGGCAGAAACACACCCATTCTTTAAATGCTACCATCTCCAACACTCCTTCTTCTCTAAAACATTTGCTTCCTGTTCCCAAGTGTAAATGACGTCCCTCCCATGGCACTTGATCTCCAGCCAGGAGGCCAGCCCACCCGAAACCCTGGGAGCTCTGCCTTGGGCAGATGGAGGCTTCACCCGCATCAGCTAACAAAGCAGAGTTTCACCCTGCGCCTGGTCTTTGATGACCTACTGCTGGCATTCAGGTCCCCTGAAAGTCCAACTGTACTTCTGACTGTTTCTAGTGCACCTACCGGGTTCAGAGCCACACTGAATTGTCTGCAAGAGAGAAAGAAATCGAGTGCCATGTTGAATACCAGCAAACCAGAAGCCTTCATTTGCCAAATTAGACAAAACACCATCTTTTCCCTTAAATGCATATACAAGTGATGCATGTTCAAAGAAAAGCTGAGCTGCTCCCACTTCACAGTTTGGGAGACATTAAACAGCCCTACGGTAGGCTCTGATGGGCCATAGATTAACCACCGTTTACTTGAACCTCAAGCCTGGCCATCATCTCCCTTAAAGATCAAAGGTGGGTTTACACCCCTCTCTGCAGCTCAGCCTTCCCTGCCACAAGCAGGGGATAACTCTGGACCATCACGGAGGCCCCTTCACACTAACTGTAGCCTTCTAGGACAGTCTAGAATATTTATTGAGTTTCCCCAGGTTAAAGACTGGCTGTGCCAAGAAGAGCAGAAGGCAGTCCATGGTACCTTTCCAAGGTTCTTTAAAAAATTCCCCTTCTGATATAAAAGGACTCACTGGAACTATTTACCAAATCATAAAGCAACTATGATTTCATCATGTTATCTTTTTAAGAAGAACTTATAAAAATAAACAATATCATTAGTATCTAAGAAAGGCCAATATTAAATCCTTTGGATTAACTGCTCATGTCTTTTTATAAGAAAAAGTAATTAGTCCTTTGGTTTTGGAATAAAATTCAGGACCTAAAAGGAAGCAGCAAGTTCCCATGACACGCATGACACAGCGTGGGTAAGCCCGCCAGCTCCGGAATTTGAGCCCTCACAGCCTCAATCTTTCTCAACACCGTGAAGGCAGAAGGCAAGACTTTTGATGATTTGAGTAATATGAGTTGGGTGGAACTGTCAGTCACTCATCTTTGTCTTTTTAAAGCTGAACTCCAAGGGATGTCACCAGACAGTTTTTTAAACAAATAAGCCACCATGGTGATATTGGAAGCTAAGTTTTTGTCAAGGGGCTGCTGAGACAAATTTTAGAAAGATGCAAAGCCACAGCTCTAAGCTTTGTACAGAGTTCAAGCTACAGGCCTAGTAGCAGGTACTGCAAAAGCAATGAATTTCCTCTAGGGGAAAGGTAGGGGTGCGGTGGAGTGAGGGGGTGGGCTCTGAACTGAGACAGAGGACAAGGAGAGGAGCTGAAGACGTCAGGGCAGAGTATGTCTTTCCATCAGCAAATGACCCCAGGCTTTCATGCTACGTGCTAAGCTTAAGAGCAACAATATAACTTCAAACGCTATTTGCAAATGAGGTTTTGTGAAGACCCAGAAGATTCCCTCAATCCTTTAAGGCAGGGGAAGAAGGGAAAGCTGCAGAATTCAGGGTCTTAGGTCTGGGGACAAGGACCCCAGTACAGCGCAAAGAACACGCCAAGAAAAGGCGACTGGAACGTAGAAGCAGCTCTTGCGACCCCAGGCAATAACAATAATGAACGCCTAATACGTGCTAGGCTCTTTGCTGCTACCTTACGGGCCGGGTCGCTGTCCTTCACTAAATCCTGGTGAGTGAGATATATGACCCTTCAGTTAGACAGATGAGGACACGAGGCTCATTGAGCATAAATGGCTGGATCAAGAACGCATGGTGGCATCTGAACCCGTCTGATTCCCTCGCCCCAGACTTAAGCAGTCCGACGCCCGATCCCCGCTTCAGACCGCCCTCTGCAACGCCTCGGAGGAGCATGAGCTGATGGGTTGGGACGCGTTTGGGTCCGGGTTTGAGGGACCGGAACGCGGGAGAGGGGAGCGGACGGGGGCGCTTACCGGCTCCGGAGGCACGGCCCCGCAGCACAGTGCGGCCAGGCTCAGCAATACTAGCGACATCGCGGGGCCACCGCCCGCTACCTCGCGGGGTCCGGATCGGCTTCGGGCCGCGTGCTCTTATCCAGGCGCCCGGGACCACACCTCCGGGCTCCGCCTCCCCCAGCACCGCCCGGGTAGGGGCGGCCCTCTGGCGCCCTCCCAGGGTGGGGAATGTAGTGCCCGGCCTGCAGGGGTCGCGCGGGATGGCTGCCGGGGTCCGAGCGTCTCCCGGGCAGCCACGCACGCGCCGGCCCAGCGCACCCGTGCGTGCGGTGAGCCAGGTGCGCGAGTGCGCGCACTACTCGCCCGCCCCGGCCCGCAGGCCCGCCCGGCGCCCGCTCGCCGCCAGGAGCAGGTCGGGTCCGAGACGCCCGCGGTGCCTCTCCTGGCCGCCCAGAGCGCGCGGAGCGCCGGCGCTGCCGGTTAAAGTGTAGCAGGGCTGGGCCGGGCCGCCGGCGCCGGCTCTTCCGACTCCGCAGCCGACCGACCCGGCACTCGGACCGACCTGCCCACGGTGAGTAGCGGGAAGGCGCTTGACTCGCGGCCGTGGCCGGGTCGGGCCGGGAGGTCGGGTGGTTCTGGAGAATCCAGGCTGGACGCCGAGGTTGGGGCCCCCCGGGAAACAAAACTTGTGGGACGGTGAGAGCAGAGTCGCACTGAGTTACTCGCAGAAACTTAAGTTGTGTGTGATTCGTATCGTAGAAACCGCCCCTATCGCTGGCTTTCTGGTCAATGTATCTTTCCACAAAATGAGACCTGCCGCTAACAGTTGGGTCTCCGAAGACGAAAGCCTGCACCCTTTGGGTGTGGAGGCGACTTCTTGAGTTTCAGGGAGCTCGGGATTTCTGAGTAAAATTTGCAAATTAAATACGGCCTCAGAGAGCCGACCTAGCTGCTCAGAACCGAGTAGGGTCTGGGAATTGCATTTAACTTGATCTCGCTGGTTAATTCTGCGCAGGTGGACCGGACCCATTCTTTGAGAGAAACAGTGGGTTTGGGGAAAGGTTAATGAAAATCAGCTGGGCTAACAGTGAATCAAAGTGCTTGAAACTCTGCGGCTTTAGGCGCCTGGGTTTGCAGAGGAGGGGGGCGGAGCGGTGACCAACTCAAAGTCCCTTAAACTTCTAGGCTGAGTTAGCGCCACTCTTCAGATGGGAGGCCAAGGCCTAGGGAGGGGTGGTGAAAAGTTGACTTAGTCAAGCAGTTGTTTTGCTGAGGTCCTGTGCACCAGTCCTGGCCCAGCTGCCTGATTCAGATTTTGGCCAGCATGGAGCAGGCCCAGTCTCAGGGTTGGCTGGGGACTCTGGTATGCACATATGTGAGGTGCAGGCGATGTTTTCCTGAGGACTGGTCTAGTTTCTCATCAAGGTGAGTGGCTCAGGTGAGGGTATTGCCTCACCCATGGTGGCCCCTTGCTCAACGTCTCTGAGTTCCTTTGAGCCCTGGCGCTGTGGTCCCAGAGATCACTTGCAGCTCTAATAGTTGTCTGTATTCTTGAGCCGACATGTGCAGGGTGCCAGCCGTGGCGTGCAAAGGTGCCAGCTAATTGGTGCCCTTGGACTGAGAATGGGGGCAGTGAGAGTATCTCCAAGGGCACGTCCCCACCCCCACCGCCGTGGAAGTGCAGATGCAGACAGTCTCATCTTCCTGCTCTCGGGATCACAACCCTTGTTCCGTGGGATGCCAGACGTTTTGGTGATGGTCATTTTTCAGTTGTAGGAAGGCCACCTGGCTGGCAGTGTCAGGCCATGGGAAGTCAGTCCCTCTGAAGGCAGTGAGAAGAGTCTGAATCCATTTGCTGAACCAACAGCCAAGTCCCTGCATGGGCCACCCTCCGGCTGTACCAGCTTTATAGACACGCCCCAAAGCAGGCCCTGTTTCGGGAGCTTGAGCTCCTGAGGGTGAGGGCGCTGGGGGTAACCAGGGATGCAAAGGTTAGTCCTGGAGACAAGGTTTGTGAGTCAGACATTTTTAGGGGTTAGAAGAGAGGGGAGGTGGATAGAGTCCCAGGAGGGGATATTCCCTATTCCCTTCTTTCTGTAAGATCCTAGAGTGAGGGAGCAGCCATGGTGTCAGGTGAGACAGAGGGGCCAAGGGTGGCCTGGCCTGCAGTGGGCCCCTGACTTAGATCTTTGGCAAGAAGGGGTGAGACAAGGCATGAGAGGAAGTGGCTTTAGATATGGGAGAGGGCTGGTTTTCTTCCAGGAAAGGGCAAGGTCGAGACAGTTTCTCCAGGAAAAGAAGCTGATGGGCAAAGGAGAAAAGAAAGGCGAGGCGAGCAAAGTGCCAAGGTGGCTGAGCATCGGGTCGGAGGAGTGGAAGGGGGAAACCAGAGCAGCGGGCTCTGGCTGTTGACTTGGGACTCAGACCGAATGACCTCCCCGTGCACTGGGTGCAGGGCTGGGCATGTGTGGGCACAGAGATGACACCGCCTTTTCTCTGGTTCTCTGCTGCCCACGGCCAGGTCTGAAAGCAGGACTGCAGAGTGAGCAGTCCCGAGTGATCCCTTCAGCCATGGCTGATGTACTCTGTGGGTCAGCAAGGCGTGCCTGTTCGGTAGGAGGGGTCCACGCTGGCTCAGAAGTTCGTTCTGAAAAGTGTTCCTCCATGAGAGGGCCTTGCTGGTTAAGCATGAAGCCTCCAAGCTGGCCTGCTAGAAGGAACGCCGTTTGTTCAAACCCCTAAGCCCAGTAGTGTCGTAGCTTTGTCAGTGGGATGCAGGGCCCCTGTGAGTCAGGAGGTCTCAGCTGCTTCCCCTGTGACTCTGAAAGTCTCGGCCCTTCTCAGAGCCTCAGTTTCCTTTGTTGTCAAGTGTAGTGGCAGTGAGGTGACTGAGGTCTGTGAGGGAAGTGCAGATGCTCTGACCTTTCTTCTTTGGCTGTGAATTCTGCTGCATCTGCATTTCTGAAAGAGCCTTGTGCAGTGTTCCTTCTTGTCTGGGTATTTAGTAGGTGCTTGTTAAATGCTTGAATGAATGAATGAATGAATGCATACCTTCCTCCAAGCCAGGGGCCCAAGCCTGCCCAATCAGGAGAGTTGATTTGGGTTTCCTTTTATTCTTCCTTCTCTGGTGGGGGTGAGGAGCATCTCATCTGGAGTCTGGAGGACCCCTCTGTCCACTGCGCATGGCCCTGGCCCCAGACCCCCCAGGACAGGCTCTGTGCTGCCACTGGGGTTCACATCTCGTGGCTGCGCTGTTCATTCTCCTCCCTTGAGTGAGGCTCTGGGTGTTGTAGGGCCTCAGTTTCCCTTCCATAACATGGGGCTGACGTCAGGGCTGTTGGGAGACTCTGAAGGGGTGGGAAAAAACTGGAGGACTTAAAGGTGCTGTGTAAATTTAAGGACAGGAGAGGTGGGACAAGAAAAAAACAAATGATTTCCCTGGCCTTGACAAGGAAATTCCTTTGAACCCAAGTGCAGAGACGCCCTCAGGCTGGCACTTTGGTCGGCCTCTTTGTTTCTCTGTCCTCCCCTCCCCAGGAACAAGGCCGTCAGAGGCTGTTGACCTGTCTCAGGCCCGGCCTCCACCCACACAGGTGGAATTTTCCACTTTTTTTTTTTCCCAAACATTAATCAAGGCCCCAGGCGGTCAACAGTGGATTCATTGTCTCTTGAAGAGCAAGAGTCAAGCCGTTTCTGGGAGACACCGGCTGCCTCCCGGGGCCCCAGCGGCCCACCCAAGCTGGATGGGCTGTGTTGGGGGCGCCTCCACCCACAGTGTCGCCTGCCGCCCGTGTTCTCCTCCTGTTGTGGAGTTTTGCAGAGTCAGTGGTCATGCGTACTTGAGCCCGAGGCCCCCTGCGTGTTTGCCCCTGCCCCCAGCAGGGCCACAGAGCCACAAACGGCCTCTCTGCTCCAGTGAGGAGGGCTGGCCCAGGAAGGCTCCCACGGGGTTAAGTCCATGTTAATACTGCTCCTGCCAGGAACTGGCAGGAAAGCCTGTGAGGCCACAGCCTGAGTGTACTTGCCTCCAGCTTCACATGCAGTGTCACACTGGGGGCCTCAGGAAAAGTCCAGAGCGCGGAGGAGGCCGGTGCTGTTATTCTTTCAAAGCCCCATCTGTACTTGGGTGACTGAGTCAGCCTCCCAGGGCTTGAGGGCGGGTTACTGGAGAAGTCGGTGGTGGGGAGCAGTGGTTTGTGTGGAGCTCATACCACAGGGGTGGCCACGTATTTCTCCATCAGTGATACTTTAATTACTCTGTTATTGGTGATAGCACTGTTATTCATAGGCACAGCATCACTCTCCATACTGAAGGGGATGAGTGAGGATGCAGGGAGGAAAGCAAGGAGGGATTGAGGCCATGGTGTGACCTTGATAAAATTACCATGTGCTTTTGACTTTGCACTTGTAATTCTCTGAAGGGTGTTTTTGGCTTATTTCTTTTTCCTCTCGTAACCAACCTAAGAAATGGGCAGTCTGTTTCCATTTTATAGATGTGGAAACTGAGGCCCAGAGTTGCTAAAGCATGAGTGGTGACAGAGTTGAGATCACAAACCATGGATCTTGACCTCCAGCTCCTTTCACTTTTTTTTTTTTTAAAGTAGTGAAACTTGAAAAGAAAAAAAAAAGTAGTGAAACTTGAACATGAAACCTCAGTATATATAAAACACACACGGATGATGATGATGCATATTAGTGTGAGTTATCTTGTAAGTTCATATTTGTAATTTACACATGTGTGTTTGATTTAAATATTCACAACCTAATAGTCGAAAGCTGTGTTTCATTCACCGGGAATTTTTAGGACTTCAAGCTCGGGAGGCAACATCTCAAGTGACTGTGAGAGAACTGCTCCAAGGAGGCCAGGCTGGAGTAGCCAGGTTATATAGAAATTTTACAACAAAGGGCAGGTAGTCTGAATATCAGAAGATTATTGATAAGTAAAGAAAACCAGATAACCCAGGTTAAGGAATTCAGCACTTTTCTGTGTATGGGAGGATGTACGGTCTGAGCTCACTGAAATCATTCCTTTGATGTGCACCTCACTTATCTGAGGCGAGTATCCTGTGTATTTTTTAAAATTAATTTATCTTTATTTGGCTGCAGTGGGTCTTAGTTATGGCGTGCAGGGACTTCTCTCTAGTTGTAGCACGTGAGTTTCTCATTGCGATGAAATTTTAAAATTACTTTAAGAGAGTTTACCCAAAAGCTCTTATCTCATTTACATTTACTGTAAAGCTTCATCATGTCAAGTTATTTTGCTTGCAACAGATGCAATAACATCCGTCGTATTTGACTTCTATTAAACCTAGGTACAATGAAGTATTATACTTAATGATTCTAAATACATGCCTATAATAATTAGATCAACAAACAAACTTTAATACCAGGTATCAATATTCAGTATTTCTCAGTTCACATGAACCTGAAAGTCCTTTTGGCCCGTTTCTTTTTATTTAATTTGTAAGTACTTTCTTTAATTAAATAGAGCTCTTTATAAATTCAGTGTTGATGATACTATACTTTCCAGAGGTAGAGATATCTCATAAGTGCCATGTGTACACAGGCATATAATATAAACAGGCAAAACTAGAGATCTCATGGCTTCACCTAATTATGAATCAGGTATCACAATATAAACTTGCTAGTTTACAAAGAGCAGTTGGAATACATTAAATTTGCCAGCTCAGATGATTTAAGGTTTTACTCTTTGTAGAGTTTGGCTGAGGGAACATTCCTAGCCATGTGAATTTTAGAATTGTCGCTTTGTCTCTTTGTTTCCTTGGTTTCAGGTATTGCCTGATAGGGCTCAGTTTCAGGTCCTGTGGCCTGTATTTACATTTTTGTTTTGTGGA